CCCCCCCCCCCCCCCCCCCCCCCCCCCCCCCCCCGAGCCCTGGTGAAATCTGCATTCCAATAGCTATACGAATCTTTCTTCGGCCCATCCTTGTGCCTTGTCCATTTCATATCTTGCGTGATCGCGGAATGTTCTCAGTCCTACTGCTACCTCCGACTTTAACATCAAGCGTCAGTTCATCTTTGCCTGAGAAAACCATATCTCATAATTTGTCGTCTCTAAAATCTGACCGACATTTGAGATTCACGGAGTGATAAGGCTTCTGGGAACGTGGAATTGGAACTCTTCTCTTCAGACCTGTCTTGAATCGGCAAGGATGACGGGGTCCCAACGGACGTTTATGAAGGACCTCGCTGAGCGTTGTCCTCGATCTCTTATTACAGTACAATCATCGTGAGAGACGGACGATTGAACTGCAACGCCGTTACAGAACTTGCAAGAACTTGGATTAAAAGCATCGACATCGAGACACAGGACACCATATTCATATTCCAAACAGATCATAAATGCAAATACTTCGTTGCACTAGTTCTGCTACACGATTGATCTATTTTTGCATTCGAAGTAATCATTGCACTCTGGAAGGAATTTTGAAGGCTTTCCTCATTTAAAGACCGTGAAGTTCCACCGCTTTTTCAACCTTCTAGCGGTCGTGAACGTCTCCAGGAATTATCCGGAGCTATTTTGAAGATCGACTCCATCTTTGGATACCCATACTTTGGATGCTTGTCATCTCAATACCTTTCACAGAGAGGTGCAGGTGTTCCAAGAACTGGGATTGCTATTGTACAAAGGTGAGATCTCAAATGAAATTCCATCGGTCATTCGATGTCTCCAGGAATAACGTGTCCTGCGTCTCTCTGCTGGTTTTATTTATACAATTCGGTCTTCTTCAGGGGAAATACCTTACTTCGTCTCACGATTTTGGATCCATACGTTGTTCCTTTCTTCAGGATGACGATTGGCAGCTTCTATAAATATCTATAGAAGCCTCATATATTCCCTCGGAACACAATAAAGCTAGGTATTCTCGACGTTACAGCAGCAAGGTGCATGCTCCTAAAAGATATAGATTTGGGTTTTCGCAAAAGTATTAATGATGTCGCATCTGATCCATTGAAACCTATTGTTATTTTATAACAGTGACCTCCCTATCACCTATCCATCCTTGTAGGGCAGGAAAGCTTCGAAGCACTTCTGCCACTGGGAGAGGAGATCGTGAATATTTGGATCGCACTCATCCGAATAAATAAAAATTTCTTCACCCTCGGATATGGTGTTTAATTAAATTTTCCTCATAAAGGTGAGTAAGGAGAACGGAATCCTCACCTGCTAATTGTGGCACCGTTTCTGATTGTCCTCTCCAACCTTCTTTTGTCTCGTGAGAGTTATATCCTAATTCGACATTAGAACCTCCATGAAACTGTGCACACTTAGAGCTCTGGGTGGAGTCGGTTAATTAATCAATTCTTCTAAAAAATTAGTGCAGCTTCATGTCAGGGGTTCCTACCTTAAACATTGAGTTGTATTGCCCAGCGAGGATCTGCCACAGATCCATCCGATTCTTTCATATGTAGGAGACGGGCATATGGGCACTTCCGGTTGCCTCTATCGCTAAATCTGGGAACAACAAGTGGGAGAACCTTCAAAGGGATTAAGCCGAAAAGGAGGTTCCCCCAGAAGACCGTGAGAGAAAGCCTCGACCTTGGAGCGCACCCGACGTGGGAAAAAAATAGGGAACTATACAGATGGGGAAAAAAAAGAGAGGAGGGGAGTTGCAGAGATCAATGGAAAAGGAGATGGGAATGGGGAGGAAAAGTTCCCACAAGAAAACTATGTCTGTTTACGAGCTGGCAGAGCTGAATATAGGTAGGTCGAGGCGCTCACGACAGGCACGGAAATCGTAGGCGCTGTCGAAGACGTTCTACCACAGTGAGTGCACTCAGTAGGTGTAGCTCTTTTTTGCCCTTCTTCCCTGCCATTTCCTTCCCCTCCATGCCCGACGGGCTGCATTGAATCTCTCAGCTGGCGTGTGCCTCGCACGCTCCACCACCGCCCTCACATTTCGCTCGGTTCTTCATTTCGCGAACCCCCTCCCAAAGTTTTCATTGTCAGACTTATGGTCTTTATATATTGCAATTTCGTTCGAATTTAAAAGACGTGTCGGAATTTTTAAGTTCGTCGTTCTTTGCCCGCTCCGTCGCCGAGAATGCGAAAATTAGTACCGTGGAATGCGAGGTATTCAGGCGATAAGGGCAGAGCTCCGGCCATCTGCCGGTCATTGCTGCCACCTGGCACACGACTGCTGAGAGTACGAGGCATCCCGTTCTCCTCTCCAATGAGTCTATCCCGTGTGCCTGTTTCTTGCTGTTGCTTAGAATATTTGAACTTACGTTCCTGATTCTACGCAAAGTGACACTCGTTTTGACCTTCTTTAGGGAGCGAGGCCGAACGCAGAGGGTGAACTTTGGTGATCTAGCATATGAGGGACCATTGGAGAGAGGAACGGAGTCCCGCGTCACGTAAGAGAGAGCAGAAAATGCAGAGTGTGCGGGAGGGAGAAGCTCGTGCGTGCTCCACTGCGTTTTGTGCGTGTGTGTATTCACGTTGTGTTTGTGCTGCACGAATGCTGGATGTCTCCCAGGATACCATGGAGGAAGAATCTCCAAAAAGACCGTGGAAGAGATCCGTGTCGGTAAGTAAACCCCATGACCAACAGTAATTAAATTCGTACTGTTGGCTCCCAAATTCAATTTTTGTCCAGGAGTTGTGACTATGGTGATATACGATGTGGAGTGTTTTGGATCATTTTGTGCCTGGGAATCACGGTAGAAGCGAAATAACTGAAGTAAGAGGAAAGAGTAAATAGAGAATAATCTCTAAAAGGAGTTTCTATTGTTTTGCAGTTCGTGTTTTCTGATGGATTTCCTGGAATTTATAGCTCATCTTTCGCTCCGCTTGGTTTCACACGCCCACGTAAATGTAGTTACGGGAGGGAAATGCCGGCGGGAGCTCTCCATTCTCCAAGAAATACATGGTGTGAAGATTTTCAAGTAGGCGATTAAAACCCTGTGTGACGCAGCGACGATGGAATGAGGAACAGCTTTTAGTGCAATGATGAGAAGAGCGGCTGCGTGAATCCGAAGGGAAATGCACGATAACATGTATGCTCAAGCCCCCGCTTCGAAGGAGGAAGGATGATGTATACCTGTAAATAGGGGATCCCCGACGCATCCCTGATTTCACCACTCTCACGGGATGTCATCACGGGCAAAAACGCTTCTCGACGTCCTGCTTGAACCTTGAACGGTATCGAGCGTTCAGTCTCAGGCATGCATTTATTGTGAATTTCAATTGATGCGTCGGTATGAAAGTGCAACCTTCCTGCACCGTCCTCGGTGCATAGCGCAACTCAGCTGCTGTCTGACGGCCGTGCCGATGGCATATGAAAAATTTGCGACACTTGATCCCTGCAAAGACAGGACGAGGAACTGGTTTGTACTTGTTGCAGTGGTCTCATTTGATGACGCAAGCCCAATCCACTGTATCCCATCGGAAGACTGAAGTGCTGGAAATTTCTGTTGGGCATAGGCAGGTGTTTTTGCCGTACGTTTAAGTTAGCAGTATTTTAAGCTGGTTTTATTGGGAATCTCCTGGACCTTCGTTCGCTTTGATTTTTTCTTCCGTTAGATCGACGGTGCTCAAGCGACCACTTCATGCTTCAACTGTACTATTGTATTCGAATGGAATGTGAGTGTAGAGTGCCCCATCATGCACACCGGAGTAGTGTTAGCACAATCTGATCTGAAAATCTATAGCATGCTTAATGCATTCCTGTATTGCCATCGTTCGGGACACTATCTCCATTCGTAACAATGGCTTCAATCCAGCAACTCTAGGAATCCCCAATAACCTCTTCCCTCTCGTTCATTCTATAAGCCAAAATCTAATATGTGATGACTGGGTATGAAATACGGTTACCAATATGTCATGGATACCAATATGGTCGATTTAATTACAGCCAATTTGTTTTTATTCTATTTTTGAAATGCGGAGAGGGAGAATGGGAGAGGCTTAGTTGCCTAGCCTGAAAGCTTCTCGTACCTTCCAATAGACACGCATTCGTATGAGACGCAACAATATCATACTGCGACTGATTACATACCATTTCATATCCTGAGTACAATACCCCATTCCCTATGGCATGAGAGAAGAAAATGAGAGAGAAAAAATAAATAAATTACTCTGACCTGTCACATTCTGTCTGGACTGCTTCAAGTTCCCCTAGCCAATTTGCAACTACTCGTAGTTCATCGCGTCATAATTGTCGACGCCCCATGTGGTAATCCCATCCGGGGGGAAGGGTGAGAGGCCCCGAGAACATCCAAGGAATGAGCCTCCTTAGTAATACCAGAGATGCCGCTCAATTGAAGGGCAGCGGACTCTTGCTTCCTTTGGAGCCTTCGGTATGAGCTGCAGGGTGCAGTGAGCCCGGAATCGAATCGTTTTCTGCTCTCGGCTCTATCTATTCTCCCCCCGAGAAATTCATATCCTAGGCATTCATATCGAAGAATGAGGCTTGAGGGGGAAGTGGGAATGCTTGAGCTCCCTAGGGTGGATTTTCTCTATTTATTAAAGAGAAAATCTGAAAAGCGTGAAAATGTGGAAGCTGTTCGTATTCCACCCGGAGGGACATTTCGTGTGGGCTGAGAGATCATCTGGATGGAATCCCTCGGATACTTTTTCTCTCGCTCTTGCCCAGTGAGTTTCTTCCCGTCGGGCCAGGGCAGTTCATCTGTGCTGAGTCAGGGGCACCTAACTATAGAAGGTCTTACAGGCGTCAGCTGTCTCACAGCTGCCTAATGAGAACAGGGAATTAGCGTTGTCCTTGGAAAAACTAATTAATCACGGCAGGTTCAAGGAAAATGTATACTGACTCCTTTGATAGATTCAGTGCTCTATCGATGCATTAAAAGGGTCTACTAGAATATTCGCTTTATTTGCATTGCTAAATTAGTCAAAGAGCCATATTTATTGGAATTATTTTTACCCAAGAAAAGAGAATGATATCTGTTCGGACTCTGGAACTTCATTCCAGTTCATTCATTTTCTAGAACGCCATCCCAACTCACTGGGATCACAGTTGAAGCAAGTGGAAGAACGTCTTTCATGCTTCCAATCTCGGGTAACGGACTCGAATGGTGGGTTGCCGAGCCTCCAATAACAAAGCTTCACACTTTAGTAGTTTCATCTTGTACGGATTTGCCAGCCGGTCTTCGGCCGGTCATCTTGGACAGAGAAGCTCTTTTTGGAATCAGTCGTGGGGAGGGGGGACAAGGAGCAGACGTGTCTAAATCATCGGGCTTAAGATCTCTTGTGCAGGAGAAGTGTCTGTTTGACCCGGAGGCTCTCACGGATCCCGGCATTCTGCATCCTATCTCGACGCGTGATACCGGCCACCCTGCGTGAGAACCTCATTTCGGTAGCTTGTATCCGCGATCTCATTCTTTCGGTCCTGACCCATGTTCATGGTCAGTGGTGAAGGTAGGGAGATAAGTAGGGAGTGTGAATGCGAAAGAAAAAAAATATATATATGTATATAAATACAGTATAAAGAACTCGACACCAAGACCGCACGGAAATTCCATGAATTGACAAGAGCAGGAACGATGCACATAATGATAAGCATTTTTTTTTTTTGGAGTAGATATTACACTGGGACGACAACTGCACCTGGGCTGGGAAGTTCCACATTTTGCTTGGTGTCTATGTGGTTAGCCTCACTGTCACGCTGTCATATTGGGACAAAACAAATTATCAGGGGGCTCATGAAATTCAAATTTGTAAGTCCTGAGGGCAATGACCAAGTCCCACAGTACGATAAGTGGAGGAGTCAGGGATGAGGAATGTCTTAGATGGTTGCATCCAGGTCCAATTACCGTCGGGTCGAGCCACTTACTATGCTTACCTCGAACTCATACTTTCGAAAATTTCATGGTCGAGGCGTTGAATTCTGAGAAAGAGAACTGAGGCGAAGATGAAGACAGGTAAAAGCCTCGTGTCGATTTTCCTTTTAATGAGCGCGAGAACGTGGAAAGATCCGTCTTGCTTCACAAGAGACATCTAGTGCGAGCCAAGTAAAGTGCTGGAATGAACGAGCGGCAGTGCATTCTACTCTCTAAGCCAGTGGTCGGCAACTGGCGGCCCGCGGGCCAGATCCGGCCCGCGGAAACCCTCCCTCTGGGCCGCGAAGACCCGGATGTCGAACATTACGATCTGACAGTAGACGTTCAGTTGCACGTTTGGCATGAGAAGTTCGATAAAATTGTCATTTTAATGACACTTGGTAGGTGCTGGCTCGCGAACGTTCAGCATCCTGCCATCCGGCCCGCCGTGAAATTTAGTTGCCGACCACTGCTCTAAGCCCTTTGCTCTTTTCGGACTTGGTTTCTCACCAGTCCAGGACGATAATTCTCCCTCTGCATCCAGGCCAGTCCGACAAAGGCAAGAACGTTGGAAGGCGAACGATACTGTCACGTGATGATGTCATAAGCTGGAATATTTTTTATCTTGTGCCCTTGTTACCTATATGACGTTCTACGCTCCATTTTCCAAGGTAATTTCGGCAATTGGAGCATAATCATTACTTCCACGATTCCGATGACCCCGTGCAGGAAATCCATTATTTTCCTCGATGCTTCCCACAAGGAAGTTTGTGCATTGAGTCTCTCCACTTCCTGTTCCTACGAAACGAAAAGCTAATTGAGCAAAGGTGCACTTGTTCGTTGACACGTTAAAAGCTTTGGCTTTATTCCAAGAGACTTCTAAGGTTACATAAACCAGACCTGTTTCACTTAAAACTAATCTGATCTCACAGTGGTCCTCAGTGGGAAACCGTTTGACGGAGATAATCTTATTCCTTATTCCCCATTATGAAATCAGATTAAAGTTAAACGGATCTGGTGCATGTCACCCCTAGCCTCTGATAGCGAGCCAATCTATCGGCATCCGCGATATTCCAATTTTTTTAAATTATCGCATCAGAGACGCGCTTGGTATTGACTTGGAATTCTCTCGATTGTGTTACAGGACCCGGAATTGAAGATGGAAGGGAGCATGAATCGGAAAAGGAAGAAAAAGAAGAAAGGAGGAAGCATGGACAACCTAGATACCGTGAGTCTCCCCTCTTCCTTTTTTTTTTATAGGACTACTCGAAAACTGGAAGAGGTGGAAGAACGAATGATTCACTTATGCCCAGTCAGGAAAAGAACAATCTGAAAGAAATGTCTGTTCCAAATACACCCATCTGATATGAACCCATCGGCCACATATCTAACGTTAGTCTCTCGAAAGGGTAACCAAATATTCATAGTGTCTCAGAATTTAGCATGCATTTACAATACTTTGAATAAGCCTGATGCAATCGGTATTAACTAAAGCTCACCCGCTTAAAATCCCGCATACGTTTAAATACAGCATGTAATTCGGAGACATCGGTGCAGCGAAACGATTTCAGCATTAAAAAATGACAATGCATTTTTGCCCATTGGGAGAGGCCTTCCTTTTAAGGAATGCCTGCAGGCTGCACGCAGAAAAAAAGAAGATGCATCGATACCTTGTCTTTCCATCAGTTTTAGCCAGTAGATAAAATGGAAAATTAAAAAAATAGAATCTCGATACCTCTCTATGACTTGCAGATTTTGCCTGATCGCATGAAGCATGTCTGAAGAAAAAAATGCGTGGAGAGTCGTTTGAGATGCGTAGGTTGGGACCATTCCCATTTCCCTCTCTCATAGGGCGTCCAAGAGTGGAAACCGAATTCAGCAAGAGATTCTTGAATCTTTCAGTTTGATTGGGTCTCCGGAGCCGTTCCGGTATCATACATCTAGACTCGTGTTTCCGCATGACAACCAAGCAAATAAGTCCGCTGGTATCAGATCTGGAAAACTTAAAGCTGAAAAGGGCCAAGCTATTCCACTAATTGTCCTAGTGAATATAAAGGAGACCTACTTGCGAATAACAAAATTCAAACTTTTTTCTTCCATATAGCGATTTGTTTTATTGCACCGACTCCAACCTGAAAGTGCAAAATTTTCTTATAAATTAGCTTAAGTTTAATGTTCACATACCCATTGTTCGCCATTGTGAAAACTTTTGGAAGATTAAAAAAATATATGGTAGTCAACGAGTCCCAGAAATAGCCTGTCTGGAGAAGGCATTCAGGTGAAATATGACTTGATACCAAGACCGTTTTTATTTATCCGTTCAGGTAAAGAATGTCAATGCGAACATTTTCTGAAGACGTATTTAGCTGGTATATAAGACTTATCTTACTTTTTTATTTTTAAAAACGCTCACAGAAAAAGCTTTTCTCTGGTTAAAAAAGAATGGGAGAGTGGAAGGAGGGAAATTACCCGAACACCCTATTACAAGATGGTTCCTTGCAAACAATTACTTTGAAATTATTCGCTCTGTTGCAGTCACCCGAGAAAGGTGAAGACAGCGAGACCTCGCTGCATTCTCCAGGGCTTCGTGAAAGGAGTTCCTCCAGTGAGTGACGCCGTCCGTCATCCCTCTTGCTTTCTCCTTTCCAGCAACTTCGAGAACCTCTACAAGAGCTATCGCCTTCTCCGTATGCCTGTGCCTGACGCATCATTTGATTCAATGCAACGCCAAAACGTACACGTTTCCTGAGGTTGGGCCTGGCCTGACCCCGATGGTATTGTCTGAATGAAGATCTCGAGAAGGAATACATTATATTCATAAGAAGATATGTCTTCTGGAGGACATGCTGGTTATGTCGAATCTTAATATTCCATGCAAATTTAAAGTAAGGAACATTTACAGACTTGTTTGTAGAGGTTTACACGTGCTTTGGAATAAAAGCTTAAAGAATTCATCTGAATTCACGTGTGGGACGAAATATTTGATATGAGGCCTCCATGGAGGCCTCTCCCTTTGCGTGAGAAGCTGTGGATTGAATCACCTCAAATACTGTTTGGACTCTCAGGCCTAGAAAATCGACAGAACTTGAAATTTGTGCTATTCTTGACACACAACTGCTTGAGTTTCTTCTCTGTTCTCCCCTACGTTTGACAGATAATTGCAAGTTGGGCACACAGTGATAGAAAGGGTCAACTTCCACATAACTGGACCCCCCGCTTTCGATCCCTGTAAATTAACTTGGCCTAAGTCCAAATTCAGAACAAGTTCGACGTCGACATTACACGCCAGTATTTTAAAGGCAATAAACATTTCTCGATTCCATGAAGTATGAAGGCGGAGACTCTATTGACCTTGAGACTCATGTGTTTCTTTCGCCCTGCAAAAGGGCGAGAAAAACCACTGACTTTCACCACTCTTTCACCAGCGTTGACCGCTTTCCATGAACACTGATTATTCTTCATTTCAGGCGAATCGATGCTGGCTCTTGGGTTCCGCTGTTGCGCTGAAGAGGCCATCAGGTACCTGGTGGAGGAAGAAGCCCTGGAACCTAGTCACCCTGCAATCCGAGCCCTCCGATCTCATCTCTCCCAGAAGCAGAGGGAGGTGTCGTCCCACCGCTCGGGTACACGGGCTTCATCTGGGGACGAGATTCCCGGTTGCGAACAGTGTGATCACTTTCAGACTCCGAACAGATGAAGTCTCTCTCAAACTGTCTGTGATATAGGCCGTGGTTGTTGCACCAAGCGTGTCTGTGTGCGTGCACCCTCGTGTGCGTGCGTGTGCGTGTACGTGTGTGCGTCCGTGTAATGAAGACTGTCTCATACAAGGATACCGGAATGAATAAATGAACGAATGACGAGTTCACATCTAACCATTACCCCATGATCTGCTGTGCTTGAATCGAGAAAACCAGACAGCGACGACCTTAATTGAAATATTTGCAATATGGTGTCTCGTTCAAATTGGATCTCACAGTTCCACATTGCCAAAAATTGTAAATGTTATGCAATTGGACGGTTCTATCCGCCTAAAGGTGAATGGCACAGAGCCCCGTTAGCCTTTTTCACTAAATACTGATGTTCGATGCTCGTGTAAGATATTTTAATGGCTTAATCACCTGCACTCCTAAACTAACAATGATACAGGGTGACCAAAAAGTCATGACCCATTTGTTTTGCTGAATAATCACGTTTTGTGAATAGTTACAAATTTGAAGTTTTTGCAGTTGTTCCTGGAAGGTTGGGAGATTAGTTTGATCCACGGATAAGTGAACGACAGAACATCGTGCAGCAATAGTAAAACTGTATTTCTCTTAAGAGGAATCATTGGTTGCCGCTCAACGCGCCTCCAAAAAGCGGTTTGGTGTGCATGAGTGTCCTTCACGGGAAAAAGTCTTTGTTACACAACTACTGATTTCCCGTTACAGAAATACGAACTCCACTCTTTCGAATGGATTCGTTCCGAAAACTTAAAAAATCATGACGAATTGAGTGGCGACATTTTTTTACTGATCAAACTATAACTTTCATTCGAAAAAACTTATTTGGATGAGGCCATTGGTGAAGTCCACTTTTCCCCATAAAGTTAGATCATTCCTGTTGGAATGAGGCGTAAGTTTCTGTCAATACTCTTGTCTATGGCCTTTTCTACAATTCACTGGTGGGTCCTTCTAGCGCAGGTACGCCAATGGTTGATGTTCTACCATAACAGAATTTAATTAAACTTAGCGAGCATTAGGATTCACGGGAGAATATCATGCAGCCGAAATCGTGGTTCTCTATGATAACTTGCAGGCGAGATATAGGGGTTTGAAATCGCCCAAGGAGGCAGAGAACGGAGCTAGTCCACAGGTGCTAATTTCGGTGCTTCTATCAAAAAAGAGCTGCATGATACGGAGTAAAAATAAAATAAATGGGAAAATGAAAAAAAAAGCTGATATATTACATTAATATTCCAGGTTTTTTTATTATGGAAAAACTCTTACTCAAAAGTTGCCAATATTAAGAAAGATTCCCACGATTCTTTGTCAATCATTTTGTTTCGAATTTAGCATAATTTTTTTAACTTCGAAAATGGGTTAGTTGATTATTACTTACGAGTAAATGGTTGTACCAATCAAGTTAATAGCATTTGAAACTTGAAATATTGGAGGCTGGAGGCCTTTTTTTTTGCCTCAATGACAAATTTAAACCCAAGTATCCCGCTCCTCTTTTGCCGCAGAGGCTTACAATTTTTGCTATGGCATAATCCAACTTCTTACCAAATTTAATAAAATGTTGAGATGCTCGTGTACCAAGCATTGGCGCACCTTTGGGGGAACGATCCATCTGTAAATTGTGTAACAGGCCATTGTATGGCTCAGACAAGGGTACTAACAAAAACGTTATCATACCAGCCCCTCGTAGCCTTTCAATGCCGATCGTATATATGATGCATAATTTTTGGTGCATATACGAAACTTCTACATAAAGCGGTAGAGCGTTTATTTTGAATCAACCTTTACCCTTACCCCAGGGCTTGGAAGCACCGGGTCAAATGTATGCTCCTCTCCTTCATTCTGATGTCTGCTGGAACTTACCACTTTCTCTTATCAGATATTCACGTACTGATATTGAAGCTTGAACCTCCTCAGACCCCAAAAAAGATTAAATCCCATAAGATTTGGCACGTGTGCATGCCACCCAGCTCTTAGGAGGTTTCCCCTGGGTATGATGCTAATATCTCAATTTCAAAACTTAAAAAAAAGTTTTCATGCATCAGATTTGCATGTTGAACTCCAGAGCTATGTGGACATTCAAGTTCCATTGATCTGAAATCTATGCAGCTCATTGACAAAAAGCTCTTTCAGCTCAGATAGAGCGAAGATTGGGGCTTTTTACCATATGAATCACAGTGTGAAAAAAAGAAATTTAAAGGGGTTTTGAGCCTGGGTGCACACTTCCCCCTTGTATACACTTGCCCCACCTAACTCTGTATGAAGCAGGTTTGAATGGCGTGGTTTTAATGGTTTCATGAAGGTAGAAGAAGCATTCCCCAATGCTGTACCATCACAGCATGACTCTGGCATTGGTTGTCAAGTATTTTCTCCAGCAATTCGCTAGTATACAACCGGTAGTTATTGTTGGACCGATTTTACGTTGATTCTTATGTACAGGTGCGGATTACAGGTCACTAATGGAAAAAAAAGTCTCATTGCTGAGTCAAACAAGATATCTATGGAAAATATTTACCATGACATAAGATTCGGTACTATCTGAAATAAAAAGAACAAAATTTAATATTTGTCGAGGCTGTATCAGAGACAGGGAGAGGTGGCAGCATGGACTGGAATGGATCAAGAGACCTGAGTCAGCTTGTCTACTGCCGGCAACACCACAGCGACTGCATTCGCTAAGAGCAATGATCCCGGGCAAGAGCCTCCAACAGCAACACCTTCTGCTCACAACCCGCGTCGGGGCAACAAATGATTGCGATTGCATAACTCGGAGACAAAAAACCGACGCAACGTGAAAGCCGGCAACCAAGTTGATAATAAGCTAGCATGAGAAATTTGGTCTATAAAAATAGCAGAGTGTTTATGCTCGAAAGAATAACAGAAAAGTTGTCGCGTCAGCAATCATGACAGCAACGCTGAGACCCTCATCTCGAACTAAGCAGAATTCCAAATATTTTATGAGCTCACTCGAGTTCCTTCAAGAATAAGAAAATAAACCAATGACTGGAGGGTGGAACGCATTAGGAATTCCGGACTTTCTTGTCATTGACCCCAATCCCTCGCTGAGTCTAGTTACGCATATGGTAATGGGTCTGACCCTTGGTATATAGACGATAGGATAGACGACAATCTTCCATTTTTCATCATTTCCCTCATTACTACAGCAAGGATATTGACGTGCATGCATTCCGTTTCTTTGGGTCTTTCCCTGATTTCAATAAAATTACCACATTGCAAAGCTTTCGAACTTTTGGGGGAAATTACCTCAATTCCGGCCAAAGGGGAGTAAGCACCGAAAGGTAAATGATAAAGAAATGTTTCGACATTCATTGCGTCATGCATTATATTCATTCCAGTAGCAGATATGAGATCAATATGAGACCTGAGACAGCTCTCACTATTTAAAAAAAAATCGAAGGAACTACTAATGCTCAGATCTTGGCCAGGGTTCATTGCTGTCGACTGACTATTTCTGGGCACAAAACATCAAAAGTGTACCTGATTTTTTGCACCAATGACTGCTTTGATTTCAGGCGATGAGTCATGGTGATCGACCTTGAGGCATGGGATATTCCAGAAAATCGGTCGTTGGAAATCAGTCACTTAACTCGATCCCGTATGAACTTCACAGAAATCCAGCAGTTAATTTTCCAACAGTCATCATGTTCATGAAGGTGGCATTTGTGACAGCGTAAATATCCCGAGAGACGAGGTCGAAGGACGAAAGCTTGAAAAGCCTGGCAAAGACCCCGTCCAAATTTGAACCTCTCGAAAACTCCACACCCGTGCCCTATCTTGCCCTTTCCACCTCTTCTCCTCGACTGAAGGAATGGACGTGGACGAAAGAAATCGTGGAGTACTATCGCAGTCGAGCGATTTCGATGTCTCCTTTCGATAGCTCCCTCGACGAATCTATCCTAAAACTCGATCGTCGTGACGTATCACGAAAGTATCGCTATGCCTGTTCACCTTCTTCAGTTTGGCTAATTACTGTCGAGCGAGTGGACGACCCGATCCTAAAATTTTCGGTTCTATACCGGAACCTACATCTCCCTGCATAGCTTTGGCAAACTTTCAACTGATTTCATCCAGCCAAAGGCTTATCGTTCCGGGGAAGCGAACGAAGCAATCCGCAAGAGGCTTCCTCTCCTCCTTCGCTAGGTGTTCTTGCATGGTAATGCGATGGAATGCATTCTTGCCGATGCCTCCAGCATATTTGACCAGTCTTTTGGATCTTACCGCCCGAAATTCCATAAGCGACTCGGCTTCCGCAGAATCTCCTTCGACCGAATGCCTTCCGGGTCCGGATCCCAGCTGCTGGCATGAGTTCTTTCCGGGTCCAGCCCCGTAACAATCGATGACTACGTCGAGAAGGACCCGAGGACGAGGAAAGAAGGATCGAAACGATGACGTGATGGAAAAATAGAGTTCATCGAGATCCTCGCTTCACGCAAGCGTCACGGCAAATGGCGACATCTGTGAAGAGACTGGGGAAATAGACATTCCCGTGTTTATTCCCAGAGGCCGCTACGAGTCAGTTTGCTAATTTTCGTTACATGTCTCTTTATTCTGCTTCGGAATGTTAGAAAGACTCAATCCGAGTGTTTCGTAATATCTTGCACCTGTATGGTAGAACCACGAAGTTGCCTCCAGATGCCTCTTCGATCAGCAAAAAGTAATCCTTCTACCTATTCAATTATCCATATCCAACGTACGATAGATACTATAAGGTACCGGAAACAAGAGGCACTGCGCCCATAACTGCGCCCTAACTTCAGTACACGAACTAACTCGCCCTTCCTCAATGAAATGAAAATTAACCCCATGAATGCCGCCGAAACGTGCCCCCAATTCATATCAATCGACCATCGTAACGAAATTTCTCCAAGGTCAGTCCGAAAATTGCGTATGTTACCCTCCCAGTTTAAAATCTCAGCTGGAAACAGCTATAATTTCCAGCTGGACTCCAGCTGT